AACTTCGAGGTATAGTTGTTGGACCATTTTTAATCATCCTCTTCTAACAGGAGAAGTTTCCCATGACTAGCAGACAGCTAATATTGCTCTATCCACAAAAAGCGTAGTAAAGTAGAAGTTGGCAATTACAAGTCTGTACGTTTAACATTGATTTTAGTCAAGTTAATGGAATCACTCCTGAAAAGAAGGATAACGGATCACTTAAAAATACACAACTTGCTGGAACCCAAAGCAGCATGGCTTTACTGAGGGCAGATCATCTCAGACTGAATCTAATTGAATTCTTTGACTATATCACTAATGTTTTGGACCATGTTTGGACTAATGTTTGGTGGTACTGCGGATATAGGCTATCTTGATTTCAGCAAGGCATTTGATACAGTTCCACATAATTAACTAATACAATAGTTATATAAGCTAGTACTTAACCCTTGGGTGGTTCAGTGGATATGCAGTTAGCTACAATATGCCCTATTCTTTCCACTATTCATGGCATCGGCTGTCAATCACTGGGCCCCGGCTGGTGATTACTCGCTGGCACCAAGTGATCGAGGAGCATTACCCAAGGAGGAAGAGAACTGTATGTAAATAATACAGTTCTCTCCCCTGACAGCTCCTGCCATGCAAAGCAGCGTGCTTACAGTTGAAAGCACACAGTAAAACAGCACACAGTTAACCCTTTGATCGCCCCACATGTTAACCCCTTCCTGGTCAGTGCCATTAGTACAGTGTCAGTGCTTTTTATGTGTCGTGTCAGAATGCCTGCCGAAGTCCCGCTATAAGTCGCTGATTACTCGTAAAAATAAATTTAAAAAAAAAATTACGTTAACCAATTAATTTACACGTATTGGGATTTTTTTTTTAGCAAAGACATGAAGCAGAATACATTTTGGCCTAAATTTATGATGAAATTTGATTTTTTAAATTTTTTTTACTGGACATGTTTAAAAAATAAAAATGCACAGGCGATCATATACCACCAAAAGAAATCTCTATTCATGGGAAAAAGGACATACATTAATTTGGGTGCAGCATTGCATGACCGCGCAATTGTCAGTTAACGTAACACAATGCCGTAACACAAAAAATGGCCTGGTCAGGAAGAGGGGTAAATCCTCTGGAGGGCAAGTGATTAAACACATGTGCAGTTCCAGAGCCAGTTGATTCTTGATCAGCTGAGCTGATGGATGTAGAGTTCCATTAGTACTGCAAACCTAACTTGCTCTAACACTGCTCTGCATTGCTATAGCTGCCAACATGCTGAAATCATTTTCAGTGGACACAGTGCTGATGTGCTTGTGATTTTGATTTATTGCTCACATGTTTCTCATAATGCTGTAGGGTACTGTATACTCAATTATGGCTTAATTTCAACATGTAGACACTCAATTAATGTTGTGTTATTTACCTACTGTGTCCAAATTAATGCCACTGTGGTCATTTTATTGTTCGCCACTGTTATCCCAATACTTTGGTTCCACACTCTATGTGCTTCACTAGTAAACCATTGCCGCTATGTTGGCACAGTATATGCTGTGCATTTAAAGCTCCCAATTCACAGAGACACGCTCCACTCACAACAGTGATCCTGGCTCACCCAAAATCTCAGACTCATTAACATACCTGGGAACTTTTGAAAGTTAATCAGTGTAACAGGAGGATAAAAATGGCAAAGTTGACATCGGTTTAAGAAAGACTACACAGCATCCATTGGTGTATGGTGATTGATCCATTATTATCAGGGACAGGGACACCCATCTGAGTAAGTATGCCACTTAAACTTGCATAGGGCTGTCTTACCTCATTCCCTATGGCTGAATGAGCAGCAAGGATGGTATTCCTACTTGGAAGGGGGAAATAAAGTGAACATGTTGCTGTGCCCCGCATGAGAAAACACAGGTTCACATTAAAGAAGAATTCTAGGTATGGATATTTTATACAAAGTTACATTGGTCCAACATATATCATGCCTGGCCAATCCACCTGGAAGTTATATATAACTGCATTCAAATTCAAGCTTTCTCTAATTGGATGAGGTAGTGTTGTGATGTTATGCACTCCACCTCATCCAATAGGAGAACACTTCACATTCATTTAGATATAATGCATTCTCTGAATGGCACCTGAGCCAAGCAGCTGACCTCCTGTTTAAGAATGTAGCAGAGAAGCTACTCAGCACAGGACCCAGATGCAAGTGGAGATCACTATAACAACTATCAGATATCCAACCTACTTATTCAGTAAATGCTAATTCAAAAGTAGCAGATTGTTAATGTCTTTGTATCCGATTTGTTTCCAGACTATCTTTTTTTTACTATCTGTATTCTAAGCTTGCTTTGTGGAATGAATAAAACATGGCCATCATTACCATATCTAGTCAGAGATTTTTTTGATATTACTATACTGTATGATTGTGAATCTCGCGAAATCCCCAAGGAGGACCCTCTTTAGATGATTATGCCTGATATATTTTAAAATTTTGGAGGAAGGTGAGTATCATGTTGTGTGAATATAAAGTCTTTGAAACTCCAGTCAGTTGGAGAATTGTAACCACTGTATTGATGTATGACATAAAACTAGCTAACGTGTATTTGGAGATTGGGACTCTCTCTTCTTTGAGGCTTTGGTAGTGTTAGATCAATTGGCTGTGAGGACTATAGTCTCTGTTGCAGTATAACATTTGTAGTTTCTGTGCTTCTTTCTATGGGAAACCTTTTAAATTGGGACCAAGATTGCTGTGTTAGGTGTTCCTCTACCAAAAGTGTTCAGTACTATGGCTCATCTCACTATATTCTACTTAATGTAGTCATTGGGCAGTAACTTTTTCTCATAGACATGTCATAACTGGGTAGAAAATTACCAGAAAATATTACCATGATGCAAAGTTGTTTGACTTAGTGCAGTTCAGAGAGTGGGAGCAATCACCGTTTATAGTGCAGATGACGGAAAGCCCTTTATATCATTTTAACAGCAGCTCAGCTAATTTAATTTTTAAAAATGTGCTTTTCTAAATAAATGATTTTGTATGTATTTAACAACTCAGTTCATGTAGAAGCAATTACCCAAAATATTACCAGACACTAAAATCCATTTATCAAGTGCAAAAACTGTTGTAATACATTATATAATGATTTTTATACCCAAGAAACGAAATATTTCCATTTAGTAACTACATGGTGTCCCAAATCAACTTGTTCATCCCGCAGCAGTGTAGGTGGTTTTTCTACCATACCACACCAAATACAGAATTGAAAAGGATTAATTTTTTTTAAGTCAATAATTTAGGTATGACATTGTTGGCAGGGTTTAATGTGTGCACTGTAGGTTTTGTGGGTGACAGTGAATATTATTTATGATAGGTCAAAGTTAAAACAACATTCAACAATTTACATTAGGTTGAATGAACAAAATACACTGCTTGTGCTCTAACATTTATTTAATATTCTGTTTTTCCAATGAATTTGTAAGATCTTGGCTGTAGGTTACATAAAAGGGGCTTATGCCACTGAAATCCATACTTTCCTAACTCTGTATTGGGCAGCCATATAAAAATTGTACTTGACTAATCGAGTGTACCGGTATTTATTTCTATACAGTGCAGATAGAGAGGGATGGCATTTTGATTGGGTTAAAATAGGCCACATTGTATGCCACATTTTAAAGTAAATTCATATATCTAAGTCTGAACACCCACAATATTATTGTCAACAGGCAAATACTCTTTAACAGAGGTTACTGTCACAACAACAAAAGTACAGTATTCAGATAAATTATGTCACTAATACAGAGGCAGACAAATATAGGTCTGAAGTATATTAATATATAAATATATTCCCCAAGAAACTAAAAAGGCTCATTTCACAAAGCTAAAATCCAAGGATGAAAATATTTATTTTATTTAAAGTACAACTAAACGAAAAACGTTTAATTTTTAGGGTGAGGGTATAACCCCTATAATTTTTTTTTGCCATCATTGTTTCATGGTTTCCCTTCACTTCCTGTCCTATAGCCAAAAAAGGAAGTTAGAGGAAATTCTTCCAAAGTGACAGAATTCCTTTTTGTCACTAGTGTCACTGGAACTGCTATTCCCATTAAATGATTTTCCCTCTAATCCTGTACTGGGAACAATACAGAATTTGGGATTGTCTTTTGCTTCTACTTTTGATGACAATAGCAAACAGAACAAAACTATAAAAAAAAAAGTTTACCCCTATTTATACTTTAACTGTTATTTGAAAACTACATTTATGTCTGAAAATAAAGACTCTTATTCCTGTGAATATTCTTGTGATTTCTGCATCAGTTGAACCTAATATCATTTGCTGCTTCAGGCTCTAGCTAGATGTATTAGGCTGTCCAGTGACATGACAGTCAGTTTTATTAGTTCCTGATATATTATTAAGATTCCTGTTTTAACATAAGTCTGTGTATTGTGTTTTAAATATCATGAAACGGCTTGTATCATTGGCACATGTATCATTGTACCACATGTAAATTCACCAAACGCAGTCATTTGGTTCAATTGCACACCTCCTTCAGTTCATGCCTTTAATTGCAATCTTGCATTAGTGAAGACAGCCATAACAAACAAATTAAACATTTTTGTTCTATATTATGTTTACATAGTTGAAATGATGAGCTGTAAGTTATAGAGAGCAATTATTCAACATGCAACACTGATAAATATATTTATAGAAAAATATTGTTTTCACAAATGTCTAAATACTTGGCAAGAAGAGTGACTATGGTTGTCTAGAAATGCTTAAAAGTGTAGCCATAATATGTTATGAAGAATTATTTCAAGGCTAAAATTAAGTTGGTATTACTTTTTATTTTCTCCTTTATTTACCATATTTTCGTTTCCTCCTATCATGGAGAAAATAGTTTACTTCAATTAAATAATATTGTAATGTATTCACATAAAAATGTAGACTATATTTTAAAAAATCATATAAATGAGCAAGCTGAGCTTATACAATGCATGAGATGTTATGACTTACCTTTTCCAGATAACTGACAGTATCCATAAAAATTATGAAATGCGATCACAAATATTAGTGGAATCATGGTAAGCTATCGATGTTGCACAGTCTGCCTGCTTCTCTTGCACAAAGTCAGGTTGTTTCTGTTTTTAAAGTTTAAGTCATTCCACTTCTGGATTTTTTTTTTCCTTGGAGGAAGGTCAAGTTTGGCAACAATTTTAAAACTGGTGTTCAGTATCCCATCCAAACATCCATATGCTTATGCAGTGTTTAGAAAAGCAGTGGGAGTGCAGATGGCATTGTATAAAATGTGTTGTTACGTATGTGCATCAATAACGATGTTAGTAATCAAATTATATAATTCGCTAATGCAACAGGTTTTATACACAGCTATTACATAGAGTCTCAACTCACAAAGCTTAACCCATCAGAATAAGAATCCTTATTTGTTATCGTAAATTTGTAAGTTAGTTATATAGCAAAAATAAAGGTCTGTGGGCTCCATTCACAAAAGCAGATCGCATGTGGTATTTACAGTAGGTGATCTGACACATTTTCCTTAAATATCGCATGCGATCATGAAACTGTCAATTCACTATACCATTTTGTAGTATTATCCCAAAACAGTCAAAACATTTGGTAAATACCGCATAGAATGGGGTTAAATCAATTCATGGAAGGAAATAAATAATTAAATGCATGTGGTAATTAAGTAGTGATCCAGGCATGTGGTATTAAAGGAATGTAAATATATAGTAGCCAATTTGGAGTAGTCTTTACCTTTTTGGATCATTTCTTTTAGCAGTAATGCATAGAAACCTGAAAAATATGGAATTTATTGGGGTTTATTTACTTAGTGGTAGTAAACTCTTTTTTTTTGATACTTATACCTACAGGTAAGCTTTATAATAAAGCTTACCTGTCGGTAACATGAATATCTCCTGCACGTGTACTGTTTAGTAGATTTTCACTCTTTTTGAGAGCCGGTGCATACGCTTTGAAGGAATGGCATACCCATGCCGTTCCTTCAGAGCACTGTGCCATGGCCGGGGCTCCCGCACACATGCGTCATTGCGGCTCAGCTAGTCAGATGGCCTGAGCTCGCTAACCCAGAAGAAAGACTGGGTGAGGTTAGAAGCCTCTGGAGTGGTGACAATTGGAGGGCTTCAATTTAAGGTAAGTCCTTCATAGTGTGGTAGTATGCAGTGCATACTACCACATTATGCCGTTACCTTTCAGGGGATTTTTAATTTTTTTTTTTAAGCTGAGGTTTACTATCCCTTTAAAGTATAACTAAAGGAATATATTTTTAGATTTGGATAGCGTAGAGATGGATTAGAACACCTGTCAGGTTTTTATTGTTGATGTGCGCCTTTTAGGGAGATAAATCCTCTTTATTTGTAGCAATATCATTGAAAGTGAAAGCAAAAGAAAATCCCAAATTTTGGGTTGTCTCCAGAACAGTAATAAAGGGGAACTTTTCCAATAGGTGCGCTGGTTCTGGTGACAAGGGATTTCCTTTCTCTTCCTGTTTTGGCTTTGGGACTGGAAGTGAAGGTAAATCTCCCCAATGGGACACAGATGGCAAAAAATAAAAAACTTACAGGATTTATAATCCTCACTCTATCCCAAAATTTGACATTTAGAAAGATATTTTGTGTTTGCTTAATTTACCTTAGTTGTTTTTGATACACCACATTTGTCCTGTGAAAGCAGCTTCCCTTTGACTGGAATTACGGTCTCTTTTTTTCTTTTGTATTAATAGATATTCTGCAGAGAGGCATATTTCTATGGTTTAAACCATTTTACCTCTTTATTAGCAATAAAAGCTGAGAGGGTACAGGGTTGCCACAATTTAAAAAGTATTATTATGCTACTCACATTACCAGAATTATAGACTGGAATTGTCATTCCATACATAAACACTGGGTTTCCCTTGAAAGCTTCTATTCTTCAGCTCCTGTAAGATTTTTACCATGATTGTCAAAGTCTACCTACTCAAAGCGTTTGACGGCTCATCACTTAATTGGTGCAACTTTAGATGCGTATCATGATCTTGCGTAGGTTGAGGGTTTTACTAGCGCTCCAGGCCCCCTCACCCCCATTGCTGATAATCCCGAGTTTCCCCCTGGGTTGGAATGTGGAGTGATTCCGGTGCACGAGTCGGATCTATCTCTATTGGCGACTCATTGTCTCAAGCGAGGGGGAGTTAGGTCCAAAGGAGAGCTTCAGGAGATATGTGGTCAGGTTTCTCTCCCATACTGGACTTATTTTCAAATACATGATTACTTGACTAACCACACACGGAAGGCAGCCTTCTCCAGACCTCTTACTACTCTAGAAACATTATGTCTGAAAGGGAAACCCGTTGGCAAAACCACCTCTTTGGCCTATTCTTGGCTTCAAAACAATCTTTCTGTCACCCACGACAATTCTCAGAATTCTCAGATGACCAACAGAGAAAAACCTGCATTTTTGCTCACAAATGCTCCATCAGCACCAGGACTCAAGAAACCTCCTACAAATTGTTAATGTGTTGGTATGCTACGCCGGACAGGTTAAAGAGGTGGCTTCCCCAGACATCAGGCTTATGTAAGCGGAGGGCTCCTTGTTCCATGTTTGATGGCAATGTCCACGACTTAGGCCATTCTGGGATGAAGTTCGACAGTTGATCTACTCTATTATGAAGACTGCATTGCCCTTAACTCCTGAATGTTGCCTCCTCCATATTTCTGAGTGCTCAATGAAATCGTACAAGAGATCCTTGGTGCGGCACCTTTTGAATGCGGCTAAGTCCTTAATTCTCAGACATTGGAAGACCACTCATACCCCCTCAATTCTAGACTGGATAAGTGAGGTTAATGTTATTCAGGAATTGGAACGGACACTGACTATGACTGATGACATTGTTCCCAGCTTTCACAAATTGTGGTCCAGTTGGTATGCTTTCATTTTTTTGGAAAGATATAAAGGGCTGATGGGTGAATAGCTCTTTTTCTCTTTTGGACATTTGGGTCAAGCTGGTAATTCCTGGGCATTTCTTGCGGAGATAGATCTGTCCTTACTTATGCTATTTTCTTGCTTTCTTTCCTAGCTTTTCATTTTCCTCTGTTCTTACTTTTCTTTGTATCAGACTTGATGATTGTACCTGCAAATTGTAAACATTTTACTATGTGAATGCTTCCTAATGTTTTGATTATACTACTGAGTTTGCTTGTAATCTAATTTGTAAACTGTGTATTACATGATATGATAATATGCTATGCTTTCTTGTAGCTCATTCTTGTTCATATGTTATGCTTTTTCTTTCTGAATAAAAGATTGTTTAAAAAAACACTGACAGGGATTCTAATTCTTCTCCACGGTATCCATCCCTCTGGATATCGCATGAGATTAAAAAAGCCACCTCCATACACTCTGCACTCCTCTCCTGCACATACTACCACCGCCTTACACTTCATACTGTACATTCCCTATTTAACATTATCACATTCTGCACTATATAAGTCATCTCAAACTCTAACCACACCCATTTTAAGCCATGGTCAATGTTTAGAGCACGCCCACTTTGCTCAACACATTTTTTTTTTCTCTCAATGCCCAGGGTTCACTTTTGATCCTGCACACAGGCCCACTGATTTAATGATATGCCACTGAATCTGAAGACTACCAAAGAATTCTAGAGTGCAATGTAGGACCCAGTGTCCTACAAGTCATGGGTCTTACAGCAGGACAATGACACAAAGTACGCGTCAAAAAGCACCCAGAAATGGTTTCAGACAAAGCTGAAGAGTACTGAACTGGTCAGCAATGATTCCAGATCTCAGTCCCATAGAGCACCTGCAGAGAGAGATCGCAAAACAGCAGTTGGGAAGAGGAACCCTTCCAATCTGAGAGACCTGGAGCAATTGTTATAAAAAGAGTGGTCCAAAATTCCAGTAGAGCAGTGTAGAAAACTCACTGATGGTTACAGGAAGTGATTGATTTCAGTTATTTTTTCCAAAGGGAGTTCTAACAAATATTAAATTGAGGGTACCAATAATTTTGTCCAGTCCATTGTGGGGTTTTGCATGGAATGTGTCAGATTTGTTTTTTTATATAAATGCCACAACCGCTGGGACTATAGTACATTACCAACTGTGTTGCCAAAAATGTTTAAATATATAAAGTGCTAAACAAGAATACCTAAATCACTACCAATGGTATATAACCAAATTATAAATATTTAGGGCTGCTGCTAAGATAGGGTAAACTATTATATTCCAAAAATCCAAAACAACTCAAAGTGCTGTCCTGTGCAATAATAATTAGCCAATATCCATGCAAACATCAATCAAATTAAAATCATAATATTGTGCAGTATATACTGCTGTGATGTTTTCTTCCTCCAAATGATAAGTGCCACAATTATTGTGCAGGGGAAGAGGAGGGGGAGCACGGCACAGTAATTGTGGCACTATAGGGACATTTGGACTTGAAACATTACAAATTAATTGAGGAAAGTAAATATGTTCTTACTATAGCTGTGCTGTTATTATTTCATGAGTTATGAAATATGCTGAAGTTTTAGAGTGTTGGCTGATAACCAGTCTATCAGGAATGTATATTGGCCATTCCCTTCAGCTGAGCTATTTATGACAGGATATCTGTTAGTTCTCCAGATTGTGAGGGTACAGTTTTATTAGGGTTTCCAGCCTGAAATGTGAATCGGTTAATGTGTGTATATCATTAGACTGATAAGAAGGTCCTGGCCTCAGTTAACAGTTGTGGATTCCATGAATTAAAGGAGGAGGGAAGGGGAAGGCCACTACAGCTGTGTCTCTGGTTCAACACAGAAAAGATAGTGACAAGTAAAATGTAATGGCTGGATTTTGAACAAAATGGCTGCTACACACAGCCTGTCATGTACCCAGTACGTACGACCATCACAGCCTCAAACAGAATTCAGGTACATTTAGCTCATCCCTATTTGTAATATTAGCAATGAATTCTATCAATTATTTGTGCCATTTTTCAGGGAAACCCACACACCTGTTGTTTTTGTAGCCTAAGGCAATGTAGCATCTTGAAGAATATCATTTGAACAGC